AGACACATGGTTCCTCGACAGTTGTTGCGGTCATCACATGTGCTCTTCATCACGATTTCTTCAGCGCGAACGACGTCTTCCGCGAGACGTCATCATCACCATCGCCAACAACGAAAACCTGCGCACCAACAAACAAGGAGTCGTGGAGCTTCAGTCAAACGAAACAAACGTTATTCTTCAATTAAACAAAGTACTCGTCGTCGACAACCTCGGCTTTAACTTACTGAGCGTCAGCCAACTCATGTCGAAAGGCGTTCACCTGGAGTGCGACTCCGACGCCCTGGAAATCCGTCTTTACCACGGAAAAGGGGGGGTCTTCATCGGCCGTGCAATCCAACAAGATGACGTGTTCGTCCTCGACTTCGTCCCCGACAAAGGCACCGCAGACAGCGACGGTATAGTCGCTCTCGCACCTTGGACGCATCCGCCAGACCTCGACCCGAACTTCAGTCCTGAAGGCTTCTGGTACTCTCGTACCATTCCCGAAGCTGAACGCACCAACGCGCTTGCCGTCCTGCAAACACAAGCCACAACACCTGAGTCAGCACCCGTCATCGAAACAACAACTGCACCCGTCACAACACCAACAACCTCCGAACCTGCAATTGAAGAACCAACCGTCGTCGCGGAACAACCTACCGAAACTCTACAGCTCGGTCCCTCCGTCGCACCTCCACCTCTCATCATCGACACGCCACCGACAGCCGCCCAACAGTTAACGCCAGCACCACGCGCCGTCCATCGAAGTGCAGCAACTCACGCCGCCTTCTTCGCTAACGCAGACTTCTATCGACGCTCCGTAGGTCACAGCGCCTCCGAAGACATATGGCATCAACGTCTTGGACATCCTGGAAACACAACACTCTACAATACAATACGAGCCGGAGTGTTAGATAAGAACGCCCTACTTCTTCCCAACGGACGAGAACTCGAACGACCACGCGGCACCTGCTTCATCTGCCCGGAAGCAGATCTGCCTCACCAACCGTTCCCGTCACACCACAATCCGAGCGCCCCCGCTTATCAACCACTCGAGAAAGTCTACAGCGACATACTATACATACCTCGAACGGAAGGACGTGAAGATCTGAACTACGTCATCACCTTCATCGACGCCGCAACGCGATATGTCTGGCACGTCAACTTACCGTCACGAGACATGGCTCTAGAAGCCTTCACAGCCTGGCTACCTGTTGCTGAAAGAGAGTCAGGAGCGAAACTGAAGAGTTTTCAGTCAGATGGCGCAAAGGAGTACCAGTCAAACAGCTTCACACAGTTCTTGGCAGAAAGAGGCATCAAACGCCTCATCTCTCTTCCTTACGCTCACCAACAGCAGGGTGTGGCAGAAAGGATGAACAGGACCCTGCAGACAACCATGCGAAAGCTGCTACGTGGAACTCGACTGCCCAACTCAGAATGGCCAGCAGCGATGGACCACGCTGTCCTCCTGCACAACTTGCTGTCCTCGTCATCACTGCCCAACAACGCATCTCCGCACCTGTTGTGGACTGGGAAGCTGGGCAACACAAAAATGTTACGAGTTTTTGGGTGTATGGTACAGTACCGCCCACACACTGCACGCGCAGGGAGATTCTCGCAACGTGCACAGTGGGGTCTACACCTCGGGCTGGCAAAATATTACGAAGCATGGCGAATCTTCGACGTCCACACAAAGGAAACAGTAGCAGCACGTGACGTTATCTTCTACGAGCGACTCACCCTCAACCATTACCTGGACAACATCGCACGCCACGTCGACCCCACCGGCGGATTTTCTGGTTCCCGAGCCTTTGCTTCACCCTCTGATGCTGCTGACTGGGAAGAAGAGAACGTCGATGGCGCTTCCGAAGCTGCTGGACCCCTTCCTTACTGCTCCGTCCCAATCCCCATGGACGAGGAAAACCCTCGCGACAGCAACAATGCCGACGCCTACTACCATTTCGCCGACAATGGTTACGTAACACCCCAACCCGTCAACACCGACATCTCTGAGAGATACGGCCCCGGATTCGCACCTGATCCTGAAGCGGGAGACGAAGCAGTCTATCCCGAGGACCCTTTGCTGAATCGTCACACCCCCAGCGGACTCCAAGTCCTGGGACTCGTCGCTGCAGTGCACGGGACTTCGTCGCCACCTGAAGAGCCTCGCTCTGTCAAGCAGGCTCTGGGGGGGGAACACAAAGAAAAATGGCGCGAAGCCATGGAAAAGGAGTTAAAAGCGCTCTCAGACCGCAACACCTGGAAGATCGTCCCTGCATCACTCGCACAAGACAAACCCATTCTCTCCGGAAAATGGGTATTCCGGATCAAAACCAACTCCGACGGAACCATCGAACGGTTTAAAGCTCGATGGGTCGTCCGCGGATTCGACCAAGAGTATGGTCGCGATTTCACTGAAACCTTCGCACCAGTCAGTCGACATACTTCCCTGCGCATACTTCTCGCCATCGCCGCCTCACGCCGCCGCCCACTCCGACAAATCGATGTCGCCAACGCCTTTCTATACGCCCCAGTCGACGCTGAAATCTTCGTCGAACAGCCCCACGGGTTCGTCGACGACCCTTCCCTCGTCTGCCAACTACTAAAATCACTATACGGAATTAAGCAAGCACCGCGACTCTGGCAGCAGTACCTGCACGCACGACTCAAACGCATCGGATTCAACCAACTGCCCCATGACCAGGGCATGTATCGTCTCACTCGCGACAACGACTACGTTCTGCTAATCGTCTACGTCGACGATTTGCTTTACATCGGGTCAACTACCACCATCGTCACCTGGTTCGAAAAGGAGCTTCAGACAGATCTCTCCCTCACAGTCTCACCCAACGTCACGCAGTATCTAGGGCTCAATATCCTCGATGAAGACAACACTATTCGTCTCAGCGCCTCAAAATACGCAAGCACTATCGCCGAACGCTTCTGCATCACACCGACGCACATCGCAACACCCTACAGTCACCTATCGCTCGATCCAACCGAAGAAACCAACCCACTGTCGCCTACTGAAATCCAGGAATATCAACAGAAACTGGGCTGCCTACTCTTTGCCGCCGTTACGTGCCGACCGGACTTATCCTACAGCGCCAGTCAACTAGCGACCTACCTCAAGCGCCCAGAACAACGTCACCTCAAGGAACTCAACCGTGCCCTTCTCTACTTCATCTCGACGCCAACAGTTGGCTTAACATATCACAAGAACACGACGACCGACCTAAAACTACTCGGCTACGTCGACGCTGATCATGCTGCTGATCGTGTCGATCGTCGCTCTCGCACCGGCTACATCTACCGTCTTGAGCCCGTCGGAACTATCTCCTGGCAATCAAGTAAGCAGGAACTCGTCGCACTATCATCTGCTGAAGCAGAGTATATTGCTCTCTGCACTGCTACCAAGGAGGGCCTGTACCTGCGCGAACTGCTGGAAGAAGCGAAAATTGCGAAAGTACCCAGCTTCTCGCTTTTCAGCGACAACCAGTCCGCGATACGGATCGCGAACAAGAATGGCTTCGCCAACAGAACCAAGCATATCGCACTGCGATACTTCTTCGTGAAAGACGAAATCGAGAAAGGAAAACTCCAGCTGGATTACTGCCCGACCACCGAGATGGCAGCAGATTATCTCACCAAGAAGCTACCAAAGGGGAAATTCGAGTACTGCATGCTGCTCACCGGATTGGACCACGTCACCGAAGCTGACCACGTCGACACTCCAGAAACGAAGGGGAGTGTTGGGAAAATAAACGCATGACTTAGTGCGTTTCTGTAGTATCGAACCTCACCCGATACTGAAGCACAACAAAAGGAGTACGAAGTCGAAAAGGCGCGTACCACATCAAACCGCAACTAGAGGTTGCGAGCTGTAACCGCCTGGAGGTTACGTAACAGCAAGCGACGCTTCAGTGAACAGTAACCACCTCGATAGTCAAAGCGCTACGCGTCTCGATAAACATAACCGTTCCTTGTAATCTATCCTTTCTATATATTCCTGTATGCCCTTTACTTTAATCAATTACTTGTTCTCACATACCAGCACAAGTACATTCACTCAAGACTTCCGCTGTGCTACTCTAGCACTTACTAGCCTATTCTCTGCAAAGATCCTAAGGCTGAAATTCTCAGCCCAACAGATTCGCGAACAGGACGAAACACATCGCCCTGCGATATTTCTTCGTGAAGGACGAGATCGATAAGGGGAGACTCGAGCTGTCCTACTGCCCCACGTCTGAGATGGCAGCTGATTACTTGACCAAAAAAACTCAAAAAGCATAAGTTTGAGCACTGCATGCTGCTGACTGGACAAGGCCACGTCACCAGCAACGACACTCCAGAAACGAAGGGGAGTGTTGGAAACAAGTAATTTAAGCGCCTCTGTCGTGTCGAAGCACTAAGGGTACATTCCGCAATCGTACATGTCCCAATCGTACATGTCCCAATCGGGTGTACCGCTCCGAACCGAACTAAACCAGAGACACGAAAATTTTGACAATGTTTGAAACTAGGGTGTATTTTGGTGCAATAAGATGCAGTGCGGTGGAATCGATTGGGACATGTACGATTGGGACTTGTCCTGAGCGGAATGTACCCTAAGTCTTGAACGAAGCAAATTACAGTGAAGCATCAGCGAGTCAACCCTCGGAGGTTGAACAGCAGCTGGAGGTTACGCGAAAGTCAATGGTCAGCGACCTTTGATCTGACATGTACAGCGCGACAGCAAGGACAAACAACTGACTTGTTATTGAGCAGTTGCCCACAATCATGCCCAAACATTTTCCCTATCATTTCAGAAGAAAGGAAAGGATGGCCATGCAAGGTAGCCATCCCATTTAATCTCCTGTCCTGACCCCAGCTGACCTAGTGGCAGTCAACATGATTTGAATGTTTAGGGATTTTGATGTGAGTCCGCCTGTGCAACAGCTGGCTCTATCTGTTAAACAAAATTTCTTATTGATGTCGTATACGAGATCAACATAGACAGTTGAAGCCTGCAAATCTAAGCTTTACGCCTTCAGGCACTCGTATGCAAGCTCCTTCTCCTCGACAAGCTCTGCTGCTGTGGCGTCCATCTTCGCCCTTGAGTTGGCATCGATTGACAGCCCTGCCAGGTTAACCAAGACGGATTGATACAGAGACACAACGGTAGTGAATGTGACGACTGGGGACGGAGAGCATAAAGAAGCTTAAAAAACAGGGAAGAGTCGACGATGACACGGATGAAATGTTTGACGGCTGGAGACGGAGAGCACAGAGACGAAGTACAAGAGAAATCGTTACCTTGCACAATGGTCCACTCGCCATCCTTGCAGGTGACAGGGAAGGAGTAGATGATGTCCTTGGGAACGCCGTACGAACCGTCAGAAATCACTCCCATGGACACCCATGAGCCCTGCAGAACGGAACAATTAAAGCATGAATCAGAGCGAAGCGAAAAGAGCCTCGAATGACGCAGGCTGAAACGGTAATCTCGGAACAGCAAACAATCTCGTATTGTGCAAGCGACCATTACCTCGGGTGTGCCCTTCACCCAGTTCCGGATGTGGTCGCAGGCAGAGGAAGCAGCGGACAGAGCACTGGAGAACTTGCGGGCCGCAATGATGGCGGCACCACGTTGCTGAACGGTCTTGATGAACTCGCCATCGAGCCTGCACACCATTCAGCAAGCGTGACGAGATCAATGCTCAGTCTGTTTCTTCAGCCTGGTTACGTAGATTTCATTATGGTGTATGTTAGTGTGAAGAAGGCGTTCAGGCCAGTCTATGTTCAAGCCAGTCAATGTGACCGTTGACGTACCAAGCGTCGTCCTTGACAAGCTCGCGCACGGCCTTCTCGCCCTCAGGAGTGAGGACGACGGCGTGGTTCACATCGGGGTACTGGGTAGACGAGTGGTTGCCCCAGATGATGGTGTTCTTCACGTTCGCCACCGGCACGCCCAGGCGCTCCGAGATCTGGCCGAGAGCGCGGTTGTGGTCCAGGCGGGTAAGGCAGGTGATGTTCTTGGCGGGGAACTTGGGCGCGAACTCCTTGAGGATGAGCGCGTTGGTGTTGGCGGGGTTGGCAACGACCACCACCTGTCGGGATCGTGTGGGAAGAGGGAAGCGTAATAGATGTACGTGCGCTGATGCGAGCCGAAACGTAAATCTAGTGAATGCTTCGTAGCGGTTTATTCTTTAGCATGGAAGGTAAGGAGCGAACACGAAGGCTCAAAGAATCTCTAAAGAAGATACTGGGACTGGTCGTTATATCCAAAATCAAGACGGGGATATTCCAACGCTGCGAGTGCTGAGAGATTCTCGAGAGGGCACACACCTTGCAGTCCTTGTCGGCGAACTTCTCCAGAGCGGAGGCCTGATCGCGGTAGATGGAGACGTTCTTGGACATGACGTCCTTGCGCTCCATGCCGGCCTTGCGGGGGAAACCTCCCACCATAATGGCCACCTGGACACCCTTGCATGCCTCCTCAACATCCGTCGTCGCGACGACCCCTGAACATACCAGACGGTAAAACAAAAACGGGATCTCCTCAAGAACGATCGACGTGTTTCAGACTATGTATCTACATTCTCAAATTATTTAGACCTTGCGGGAACAGCAGCGTTTCAGGAGTAGATGGGCTTACCGTGAATGAGGGGGAAAGCGGCGTCAATGAGCTCCATGCGGACGCCATTGAGGGAGCTCTCGGCAAGAGGGATATCAAGAAGGTGAAGGATAACCGGCTGGTCAGGGCCGAGGAGAATGCCACGAGCAATCATGGGCACCAAGGCATATCCAATTTGACCTGCACATGATAACAACGCGCTTAGTGGTTCCAGGATCAGAGATTGAGACTCATGCTGGTGTCCCTAAAAAACGTTTCCTATGTGTAACAAACTTTTACTGACCGGCGGCACCGGTGACAAGCACGCGGACGGGCTCGGGGGCCATGGCTTCAAGTTTCGGAAGCTGACGAGGTGGTCGGAGATGAGGATAGAGAAAGCTTCTTGAGTTGCAACAAGAAGCAAAAACTAAAATCACAAGATCACGAAATGAGATTCCGCAAGCTGAGTTCGTTGAATTTGAGTACCTTTCCAGCGCTGAGATATGGTTCGGAGGGACGGTGAGGGGACAGATGGGCCGGACATTGGGGTGGAAGACATTTTGGTTGGCATCACGCGTGGCTGGCCGTGACAGCGGGAATCGAGATGGCATCCTACATAGGGGACAGCCCAGGTTAGAGGGGACATGGCTATCTCCCACTGGCCACATGGGCTTTCGGATGCCTCGCTGGATTCCACTTACTGCCGCAGCTTTCCCCCTCCCCTAGAGTCTCGGAAAGATCCCCTCCGTTTGCGGCGCCACGCCACGTCATTGTCACACTTGTAAGTTGAGACCGACCTACGTCAGCTGGAGCACGCGGGAGATTTCGGTTCGGGCTATACGAATTCTGGTTTGGAAATGAGGCAGGCACATGGTTTGTGGGACTCCGAGGCATGTTCTGTGGCTCGGAAGAAGTGGCTTATGCCTACGTGTTACGGGTGCAATGAGTCGAGGTAGCGAGAATTGCACTAAGGTGTCAAACGAGTATCAAATGTGAGCGAAGGCATGAGCGAGCATTTATACGCGAAACATGCAAAACGGTAACGCGGTGCGTGCGAACTTGCTAGTGCTACGCTGGAGCGAGGCTCGGGCTAGTCCCGAAGCGTAGGCCGATACGGCCATGCCAGCAGTGCGAGGTTTGGCAAAACAGTGCGCGCGAAGTCGGCGAAGTTCCGTTAGCAGTAACGGGCGAACAGTCGGCTGTTGCTGTACGCGATGTAGTCGGCTCCATAAGGAATGCCTGAGAAAATTCCTTACACTACCCCCCCCCTTAAGAAGCCCCCTCCGCTACGCGAGTGCGTGTATATCGCGGAATCCCCGGCTTCTCAAGTACACTTGCAGGGCAGGGTGATTTTCGATGTTGCTCAGGGGCACCCAGCTATCTTCAGTTGGCGTGCGGTCTTTCCAGCGAACGAGGAATTCAATCCTCCTGATTCCCGTGGGGTGGCGGATCCGATGGCTCAAAAATTTTTCGGGCTCGATGATCGGCTCTGATGCAGGGCGAGTCATTGATTGTGGCCGGTGACGCGGCAGTTGACTCGTGGTCGGGATGTATGGGCGAAGTAGGCTGACGTGGAACGAAGGGCTGATGTACCAGTCAATTGGCAACAGTAGGTGCGCGGTGACGGGTGTGATCATGTGACTGATTTGGAATGGTCCACAGTAGCGCGGTCGTAATTTTGGTACGTCGGGCAGTCACAGATTTTGCGTGTCGAGTAGCACGTAATCTCCAGATTGATACGTGACGGGGCGGCGGTGGCGATCAGCGTTGCGCTTAGCGATGACGTTGGCCTTTTTTATTGCTTCGGCGGCTCTGGCGCGGGCAGCTTGCAGGATTTCGGCGAATTGTTGTGCGCGTGGCGTTGGGTTGTCCGGACTCGGCGTCATGGGCACTGTGGGGTTCTGCCCATAGTTCAGGTAGAACGGGGACTGCTGCGTCGTGGCTGATGTGGCGTTGTTGTACGCGAACTCGATCAGCGGCAGCTGCTGCTCCCAGGTCGTGGGGTCGTCGCACGTGGCACGAATCAACTGCTCCATCGTCTGATTCGTCCGCTCCGTTTGGCCGTCGGTCTCGGGGTGGTACGACGAACTGAACTGTAGCCTGGTCCCGAACTGCTCCCAGAGGTTCTTCCAGAAGTTGCTGGTAAACTTCGTGTCCCTGTCGCTGATAATTGCTGCTGGTATCCCGTGCAGGCGAACAACGGCTGCGATGAACAGGCGAGCGGTCTCTTCGGCTGAGATCGACTTTTTGCACGCAGCGAAGTGTGCCATCTTCGTCAACCTATCCACGACGACCATCACCGCGTCGTTACCCCCAGGGTTCGAAGGTAACCCTGTGACGAAGTCCATGGTTACTTGCTGCCAGGCGCGTTCGGGCGGTGGGATCGGTTGCAATTGACCCGCCTTCCGCTTCCTTGAACTCTTCATCACCTGACACGTCGGGCACGAGCCCACGTGCTGCTGTACGTCGGTCAACAGCTCCGGCCAGTAATAGTACCGCTGCAGTTGCTGTCGTGTTTTTTCTACCCCGAAATGTCCCGAGGTAATCCCGTCGTGTGCCTCCTGCAGTAGCAGCTCCCTCAGTAGTGAGTACGCGGGTACCCAAATGCGGTTGGTGCCTGTTTTTACGTAATAAACTCCTTTTGCTTCTGCCAGTTGCTGTGAATTTCCGGTCGTGAAAAATGGGTCGGTGCGGTATCCGTGGGTGAATAGGCCAGTTAAAAGCGGGTTGGTCTGGGCGAGTAGGATGGCGTGGAGTTGGGCGGTGGGGCGGGTGAGAGCGTCGGCGATGTTGGATGCTCCTTTTTTGTACGTGACGGTGTAGTGAAAATTGGACTCGAGATAGTCCAACCAGCGAATCTGTCGTGGGTTGAGATTCGGTTGGGCGCGAAGGTACTGTAGCGAGCGGTGGTCTGTCCGTACTGTCACGTCGGCACCAGTCAGGTAACATCGCCAAACTTTGAACGCGTGCACGATCGCTAGCATCTCGCGGTCGTGTATCGGGTAGTTACGTTCGGGCGGGTGTAACTTGCGGGACTCGTACGCGATTGGCTGGAGGCCATTCCCGAAATCCTGCAACAGTACTGCTCCCACAGCGATGTCACTTGCGTCGGTGACGAGCTCGAACGGACGGTGGGGATCTGCAATGTGAAGGACGGGCGGGGAGCACAAAATATTTTTGAGGGCCGAGAAGGCAGCTTGCTCGTTCTCCCCCCACGTGTACTCAACCCCCTTCCTCAGCAGGTCAGTCAACGGGGCAGTCAGTTTCGCCATGTCGGGGACGAACCGGCGCACGTAGTTGACGAACCCCAGGAAACTCTGCAACTCGGTCAAGTTGGTCGGCGCGTGCCAAGCCTGAATCGTCGCAATTTTCTTCGGGTCTATTTCCACTCCTGCAGCTGAAATAACATGTCCCAAAAACTCCAGGCGGTCCTGTAAAAACTCACACTTAGATGCTTTGGTCAGTAGGCGGTTCTCACTCAGGATTTTAAAAACTGCTTCGATGTCTTGTAAGTGCTGTGCTCTGTCAGGGCTGTAAATCAGTATGTCGTCCAGATAAACGATGACGCACTTATCTAAAAGCGGGCGGAATGCTTCGTTCATGGTCATTTGGAAAGTGGCGGGGGCGTTGGTCAGTCCGAATGGCATGACGGTGTATTCGAAGGATCCGTAGCGTGTTCGGAATGCGGTTTTAGGGCAGTCGGGTGGGTTGACGCGGATTTGGTGGTAGCCTCCTCGGAGGTCGATTTTCGAGAAAACCCGGGCTGTGCGCAGTTGGTCGATCAGTTCGTCGGCTCGTGGGATGGGGTAACGGGATTTGATGGTAACCCTGTTCAGTGCCCTGTAGTCGATGCACATGCGAAAACCCCCGTCCTTTTTCGGTGTGAACAGTATTGGTGCGGCGAAAGGCGACGAACTAGGGCGAATGAATTCCTTTTCTAGCAGGTAATCGAGCTGCTTCCTTAGTTCGTCTAGTTCGGGTTGGGTCAGTCGGAACTGTCGCTGTACTGTTGGCTGTGCCCCCGGTTCCAGTTCTATCCTGTGATCGTGCGGTCGCTGAGGTGGCAGTCCCGTCGGCAGGTCATCCGGGAAAATGTCACTGTACTGTTGTAACAGTGCCGCCAGGTCACTCGGTACGTCGGTCAGCAGTTTCTGTAAATCGCCTCCCTTGTCTGCTGCCTCGGCTTCCCGAATGTCAACCGCGTACACGTCGGCTCCGGCCGCAACAGCGCGTTTCATCGTGATCGCGTTGACACGCACCGACGAAGACTCAGGCGAGCCCCAGCGAGGTAAGGCGATGCTGTTACCGTTCACTCGCACGGTGCAGTCACCCGTCGTCCAGTCAATTCGCGGGTTGTGTCGTCGCAGCCAATCACGCCCGAGTAAAATGTCGGTTCCGTCGAGGGTCGTTGCGAGCATTTCCTGACTAAACGTGAAGTTACCCCCGCATCGAATCCGAACTCGGTCTACGCGTTCCCGTATTGCCAGCGGCGTGCCGTCTACCAGTCGTGCGTCGATCTCAGGTAAGCATCGGTCCAGTGGCAGTCGCAGTTTTCGTGCTGTAGCAGTGTTAATGAGGCTGTGGCTGGCTCCCCCATCTACGAAGATTTTAACTAAGTCCGTCCCAATTTTCCCACTGAGCAGTATAGGGCTATCTACCGTGGTACCCTCCTTATTCGGCCGGGTGTGGTCGATTGCGTGAACCGGCACAATCACTCGGTGAGGGTCGGTTGGGTCGGGCGAGCGGCGTGACCTGTCAGTAGAGGGCCCGTCTGCTACTGACTTCCAGCGTTTCCCTGCTGCTTGGTCTGTGTCTGCTGCTCAGCTTCCCCCTTTCCCTTAGCGTTTTCCGGGCATTCGCTCTTGCGATGTCCCGGCCGATTGCACGCAAAGCAGCGCCCTTTGAACGGTGCGGCAGCGGCATTTGCGGCGACGGCGCGTATCGTGGCGCTCTCGTTCGTCCCACGAGGCCGATGTCCCCAGGTGTTGTTTCCGTAGGACCCCGGTCTCGGTCGGCGAAAGAAGTCGAGCTTCTCCGCCATAGCGAGAATTTCCTGAAACTCAGTGACGCCGCGAAGCTGGATTTCCTGAGCGATGTCCTGCTTCAGGCCGCCGATGTAGCGGTCGATGCGTTCGCTCTCATGCATGTAGCCCACCTGCTCGCATAGCGCCAGAAATCCGCTCGTGTAATCCTGGACGGAACCGAGTTGGCGCCAAGTGCGGAGCTTCTGTCGCGCCGAGATCGAGGCCGCGATTGGCTCAAATCGAGCGCGCAGACCTGCGCACCACGCGTCCCACGTGCGATACTGGGGCACCTCCACGAAATACGACGGCGCCCAGGGTCCGGTTTGTCCTTCCCGTGTCGGTAGTGTCGCGTAGTCGGTCGGCTTCGTGACGATGACGCGCCACCAGTCCATGGCGGGTCCTCGCAGCAACGACACGGCGTATCGAATCTTCGCCGAGTCCTCCGAGACGTAGTTGGCGTCGAAGAAAACATTCATTGTGAATAACCACGCCTGAACGGTAGGACCACCCCGTTGACTCGGGTCAAAGCATGGCGGGCGCTGCGGTTTCAGCGGCATCGGTGACGGCAGTCCCGAATCGTGGGTTGGTGCCGAAATCGTGACGCGAGGCTGACTTGGGGCCGCAGGCGTCGCTCTGGGGTGTGTCGTGCCGTGGTCGTCGTCTCCGTCGGGGCGGACGACGCCATCACTGGCCGCGCTCGCGGGTTGCCCCACACTCCCGTGTTGTGATGTTGAGGGTGCAGGTTGAATCGGAGTGCCAGGTGCTTGGGATTGTGCTCTCATGAGGTCATTTTGCAGTGATGAGCGTTCTGCCGTCAATGCCGCGATTTCCTCGGAGCTTTCGTGCAGTTGTCGCAGCAGATCGTTCAAACGCTCCTGCGTGAGGGTGGTGACGTCGATGTTTTCGGCCATGACGAAGGGCGTCGGCTCGTCTTAGTCTAGGCGCAGTCGTGGCTGCACGCGTTTACGAGAGAACGCGAGGACAGCGGCTCCTAGGGGCTAAGGTGCGTGAGTCCCTTCGAGTGAAAAATCAAAAGTTGATTTCCTGGTGTGCGGAGATGCGCGGTCCGAAAGAAAGGGGCTCTGATAACCAAGTGTTACGGGTGCAATGAGTCGAGGTAGCGAGAATTGCACTAAGGTGTCAAACGAGTATCAAATGTGAGCGAAGGCATGAGCGAGCATTTATACGCGAAACATGCAAAACGGTAACGCGGTGCGTGCGAACTTGCTAGTGCTACGCTGGAGCGAGGCTCAGGCTAGTCCCGAAGCGTAGGCCGATACGGCCATGCCAGCAGTGCGAGGTTTGGCAAAACAGTGCGCGCGAAGTCGGCGAAGTTCCGTTAGCAGTAACGGGCGAACAGTCGGCTGTTGCTGTACGCGATGTAGTCGGCTCCGTAAGGAATGCCTGAGAAAATTCCTTACACTACGTCCCAAGTTCTCCAGCTCATCAACGCATCCTCAAGGTTACTGCCAGCTATTTCATTAAAACAATCACAACTCAAATGAGAAGCTAGACTACATGCATGATTTCTAAAGCATGTCACCTACTGTTCACCTTGTTCCTCCCATGTTCCCATCTCTCACAGCCTGCCTCACCCTTCCCCATCCTTTCTTCTCGTGTTTATTTTCGGCCCCAGATGATTGACGAGCACCAAACGATGGCTGCCTCCAACTCATACTCCTAAATGCAAACCCTTTACCTCCAGCCCCACTTTGCCCATGGCCCGCACTGCCTCCGGATGGGCACTCATCAGACATCAACGCTTCTATCAGATCCTGCCACCGCTTGTGCACTTGCGCTGACGATTCATGCGCCTGCAGCGGCTTCCCACCACCGCCACCAGCACTACTACTGCTACCGGCGGCAATTTTATCAGCCTCGCCACTCTCCGACTGCACACCCTGAGCATCTCCTGTGGACGTTCTGTCCGAGTCTGCCTGCCCCAACTGCATCCCATCCTCCTCCACTTCCTCCTCTTCCTCCCCCTCATCATCCCTCTCATAGTCTGCTGCAAGCACAGCAGGGTCCTTGGCATTGGGTATTCCCAGTGTGAGGCAGCGCTCGAGGGACTTGAGATGCTGCAGCTGGCGCTGCTGCTGCAGCTGCGAAGGCTGATGACGCTGCGACTGGCGCTGCGACTCGTGCTGTTTCTGGTCTTGCAAAGACGGCTGCTTCTCCTCCAAGTCGCCTGCTTCTGATGCTCCTGCTGATCCGGCTGCTGCTGCTGTTGCTCCCGTTCCGCGCTCCATCACCTCTTCTGCTGGTGGTGTCATCACGACTGGCTGCTGCTCATCCCCCTTGCCTTCTGCTTCAGCATCAGGCTCGTCCACCGTCTGGCACGGGTGACAATTGTGGTTCGGGTTGGGTTTGGGGTTGAAATTGGGGTCGGAATTGGCTTTGGATTGGAAATTGGATTTTGGGTTGGGTTTAGAGTTGGGGTTGGGGTTGGGGTGGGGCACACAGTGGAGAATCGTTGTGCCACGAGGCTATTTCACGAAACAAGGTCTTGCTACATGTCAGTTTATTCACAGTGAGGCAAGCGTGCGGAAGGGACCGGACAAAGGCTGAAGATTATCCGGTTTTGCCACTGCATGACTTGGAATCTCACCACCAGCACAACTCCGTATAATCACCTGCATGACTCCCTACAAGCACATCGGCACAAATCCATGTAGTCACCTCCACAACTCGCCACAGTCATACGAGCACAAATCCCCCATGGTCACCTGCACAACTCTCTACACTCACACAATCACAACTATCTATAATCACCTGCAGGAACTGGTGCAGTTTCGCAGCGATAAGGGGCAGCGTGTGGTCGCGAGTGGCAGTGCGCGACAGCACCACGTGCTCAAACCGCCCCTCCACTGGAATGGCCGTCAGCGCCACCGGGGGCAGGTCCTCACAGCTGCCGTGTGTTGTGCGTCACGTGGTATGTGATCAGTGGTGCCAGGTGTCATGTGTGAAGATGCGGGGGAACAAGACGTGGATGGGAGTGGGCGGGTAAGAGGTGGATGGGAGTGGGAGGGTAGGTGGGTGGGAGTGGAAGGGAAATACATGTATGGAGATATAAGAGCTTGTCAGGAGAATAGAGAATAGGCTGCAATGACCGTGGAGGGTTCATACGGGTTGGGGAGAAGGCTGAGCATGTGGTAGGCTCTCTCACCCTCATAGATGTGTCTTCATCTAGTTATAGATGGATCACCTGCAGCGCTGTGTGTAGAGCATGTGGTAGAGGCGGCCAGGTGCATAGAGCCTTCTGGGATCCGCCAGTCTCTTCTGCTCCGGCACACACGTGTCGTGGCAGCATGAATATTGCAGCACACACGGCAGACTGTGTGGGGAGGGAGCGAGAAGGGCAGGAGAAAGGGGAGGGGCTGGTAATGGGCAAGATCGAGAGTTCATCAGACATGGGCCAGAGGGGAGAGGTAATGAAAATAGGCGACACGAGAGGGTGACGACAAGGGGAGGGAAAGGCTTCAATATGGCTTTCTGCAGCACCACGCGCACTGCCGCACCACGAGCAGCACGCGCACTGCCGCACCACGAGCAGCACGCGCACTGCCGCACCACGAGCAGCACGCGCACTGCCGCACCACGAGCAGCACGAGCACTGCAGCACCACGAGCAGACTGCGGGCTGTGAGGGGAGGCGAGACGGAGATCATGGGAAAGCATGTGAGCCGTAGGGAAGGTGGAGGAGCATGTGGAGGAGGGGAAGGGGAGGAGCATGTGGAGGAGGGGAAGGGGAGGAGCATGTGGAGGAGGGGAGGGGGAGGAGGTGGAAGAGAGGGAGGTACAAAAAGGATATCGACAGGAGTCCTCCTGTAGCAGTGGGAAGGATGGGAAAGGGAGGCATGTGTGACACAGGGAACGATAGGGTGCAACGGGCTGGGCAGGAGGACGAGGAAGGGGGGGGGGGGGGGAGGAGGAGGAGGAGGAGGAGGAGGAGGAGGAGGAGGAGGAGGAGGAGGAGGAGGAGGAGGAGGAGGAGGAGGAGGAGGAGGAGGAGGAGGAGGAGGAGGAGAGTATGGGGGTGGAGGAGGAGGAGGAGGAGGAGGAGGAGGAGGAGGAGGAGGAGGAGGAGGAGGAGGAGGAGGAGGAGGAGGAGGAGGAGGAGGAGGAGGAGGAGGAGGAGGAGAGGAGGAGGAGGAGGAGGAGGAGGAGGAGGAGGAGGAGGAGGAGGAGGAGGAGGAGGAGGAGGAGGAGGAGGAGGAGGAAGAGGAGGAGGAGGAGGAGGAGGAAGAGGAGGAGGAGGAGGAGGAGGAGGAGGAGGAGGAGGAGGAGGAGGAGGAGAGTATGGGGGTGCAAGGACCCACTCATACAACTGAGAAAACAAATAATTAGAAAAAGAGCAAGAAGGCGAAATGCATGGTAGTTGAGGAGCCGGGCCAAGGTGACTTTTGAGGTGCCTCAAGGGGTGCTCACCAGAAGGTGACTCCAAATACTAGAGCGAGCGGATGCATCACACGGGGCAGAAAGTCATCCTGGTGTGTGCGTGCACATGTACATGTCCATGCATGAATTAGCACATATGCATGCATGAATGAGCACATGTGCATGCATGCACGGATGCACACAGCGAGAAGAGAGAAAAGAGAAGGGAGAAGAGGAATTGGGGTTGTGGCGGGAGCAGCACAAGCAGAGAAGGACACAGATAGAGTTCTTGGAGAGGATTTACAGCAGGAGAGAGGGAGGATACACAGCAGGAGGGAGGGGGAACACACACTAGGAGGACAAACCCACCTGCAGCACAGCAAAGTCACCTGTGGTACAACGGACGTGATGATTTCCGAATGGCGCTCTCCCAGCACTGGCATGCACTCCTCTGCCTCCCCCGACACACCTTCACGCCCAAGGGCTAGCCCCGCCCAGCATGCACTTCCCCCCTCCCCCTCCCCCTCCCCCTCCCCCTCCCCCTCCCACTCCCACTCCCACTCCCACTCCCACTCCCACTCCCACTCCCCTTGAGTCACTTCACTCACGCTTCTCCAAGAGCAAGCCCAGCCTGCACCCTCCTGCAGCACCACCCACCTGCAGCACCACCCACCTGCAGCACCACCCTCCTGCAGCACCAACCACCTGCAGCACCAACCACCGGCAGCACCACCCACCTGCAGCACCACCCACCTGCAGCACCACCCACCTGCAGCACCACCCACCGGCAGCACCACCCACCGGCAGCACCACCCACCTGCAGCACCACCCACCGGCAGCACCACCCACCGGCAGCACCACCCACCTGCAGCACCACCCACCGGCAGCACCACCCACCTGCAGCACCACCCACCGGCAGCACCACCCACCTGCAGCACCACCCTCCTGCAGCACCACCCTCCTGCAGCACCACCCACCTGCAGCACCACCCACCTGCAGCACCACCCACCTGCAGCACCACCCACCTGCAGCACAACCCACCTGCAGCACCACCCACCTGCAGCACCACCCACCTGCAGCACCACCCACCTGCAGCACCACCCTCCTGCAGCACCAACCACCTGCAGCACCAACCACCGGCAGCACCACCCACCTGCAGCACCACCCACCTGCAGCACCACCCACCTGCAGCACCACCCACCTGCAGCACCACCCACCTGCAGCACCACCCACCTGCAGCACCACCCACCTGCAGCACCACCCACCTGCAGCACCACCCACCTGCAGCACCACCCACCTGCAGCACCACCCACCTGCATCACCACCCACCTGCAGCACCAACCACCTGCCTAAGTTGGAATATACGCTACTTTCATTTTGCGTTTTGCGTTTATACGCTTGTCGAATTCGTACGTTGCGTATAGTTTGAAAATTCGCGGAGTTGAATTTCGGGCAGACCGAAAAAAAAAACAAAATTTCAATCTGAAGCTCGCGACGTGGCGATCTCAATTCCGAGTCGCAGATGTCGCGAAATGAACTCAAATTTTGAATTTCGAGCACCAAACCTCATCAACCCCTCCCCTCAAACGTTTCACACCCCTTTGAACCACAGCATTCCACCATCCCCTCCAAGTGCTACTTTAAAGGTTGGGAGCTCAACCCAACCCAATATCCCGGGCATAAAGAGAGACGTTTGTTCCCTCGACATTCATTCTCTCGCTTCCTATTCTAGCTATCTCCTTTCCCAAGCCACCATGGCTTCCACTCCTACAGCAACCACTTCTCGTACACCACCCTCAGAGTCTCCTGGTAGTTCCGCTGGTGGGACCTCTTCTAGTACGTCTTTGGTCTGCATGGACAACAAGCACGCAGTCTACCGTCACTTCAAGGTGCCGGCCAATAGCGTTGGCGAGAACGGCACCAAGGTGTGTGCCTGCTGCAACTTCACGTTTGTTGGCGGGGTTCACCGTTGCGCGCAGCATATCACCAGCTGGAACGGCATGCGCCGTCGTGAAGTGCATCTCTGCACTACAGCGTCGAAGACTGCACGTGACGCCATGAAGGCGCTTTACGAGTCCAAGTTGAAGGCCCGTGATGCGAAGCGTGCGGCTGAAATCGCGGCGGTCGGCGTAGTCAACGGCAGAGGTTCGGACAAGAAGAAGAGTCGGAAGACCGACTTCTACGGCGACGACGCCGCGTGCGCGAACCAAGCTGCGGACGAGGCCATAAGCCTCTTCTTTGCCGCTCTTCATGTGCCGGAGCATCACGCGGGCCACCCACTGTGGCGGAATGTGGTCTCCAGCATCCAGCGCGCGGGGCCGAATTACGTCGCGCCGAAGAGACGCTACATCGGTGGCGCCGGTCTTGCAAAGTGTCGCTAGCGCATTGAGGCGGCGCTCGCTCCTATCTCAGCAAGCTGGCGCCGTGACGGTGTCACCGTGGCAAGCGACATGTTCTCTGACAAGGCCGGCCGCCCGCAAGTCAACGTACTCCTCATCAACGATAGCGGTGCGGTGTTTGTGGAGTCGATCGACACGAAGATGGAGATGAAGACCGGGGGCTACATCGCGGGCATCTTGCGGCCCATCATCGAAAAGGTCGGCCCCGAGAATGTCGTCACCTTGTGTTTTGACGGCGGCTCCAACTACGCGGCGGCATGCAGGGTGTTGATGCGCGAGTATCCCCACATTGAACACATCCCTTGCGCGACCCATGTCCTCGATCTCCTGATGGAGGACATCGGGAAAAAGGGATGGGCGAAGGACATCGTCACGCGCGGGGACACCCTCATCTCGTTCGTCCGCAACCATCACTTCACCCGGGGATACATGCGGAGTCCGCTCGTGAATGGCGGCAAGGGGAAACAAGTTCTCAAGTCCGCGGGAACCCGATTCGGCACCAACTACATCGCCATCAACCGCCTCTGTGAAGTGCGCGCCGGCCTGACGCAGATGGTCCTCAGCGATGAGTGGGTCGAGTGGACTCCGGCTGCAGACAGGGCTGGGGCAGACACATTCAAAGACAACATCCTCGATGCCGCGTGGTGGACGCGCGCCGAGTTCTTCGCTAAGCTGATGAGGCTGCCATTTGTCGTCATGCGCAAGACTGACTCGGATTCGAAGGGCATGATGGGTCGTCTCTACGACTTCATGCTCCAGCTCACCGAGGACATCCGCGACTTCCTCGACGAGCATGCGGAAGTGTACCTGACAAGCGACGAGGTGGGGGATATTCGGGAGATCGTGCAGGACCGCTAGGACAACGGGCTGGCGTGCAACCTGCACGTGATTAGCCGCATCCTCTACCCCACCAACCAGGAAGAGTGCATTTTCCGCACCGACCTGGAGTGCACGAGGGTCTTCAAGCAGTACGTCTCCAAGCACCATGGTGACAAGACGGTCACCAGGAAGGACGGGGTCGAGCGCCGCGCCTCTCTTGTCATCCAGGAAGGCCTCAATGCCTTCCTGAACCTCCAAGGCAGCTTCGGCATGCCCGACGCTATTGCCGACCGCCAGGCAGTGAAGGAGGGCAAGATGACGGCGGTGGACTGGTGGACATGGCACGGGACCGATCCTCCTGAGCTCACCACCATGGCTTGCCGCGCCATCACGCAGCCAGTGTCCGCGTCTCCATGTGAGCGTAACTGGGCGAAGTTTGATGCAGTGCATACGGCAAGGAGGAACCGCCTCAGCGCGGTGAAGATTCGTGACCTGGTGTATGTCACGCACAATTGGCACGTGGTGCACAACTGGCACAAGGCCCCTGAAGGGCTGGGGGTGGTGAAGGGAAACATCGAGGACCCCCCCACTCCGGCTGGCTATAACGTCCCGGAGGAGGTGGAGGAACCTGAGAAGGGGGAGGATGATGTGATGGCAGATGAGTACTAGTGGATGGAAGGCTCCATGCATGAGCAGCAGGCGGGGGATGGAGGGTGGACCTGAGTAGAGTAGGGGATGGGGGGGTAGTAGCATGATTAAGGTGGGTGAAGTTGTAGCGGCAGATTAGTTTTAAGTGTTTTTTTTCCTGTAACTTTCATATTAATACAAAAGAGATGGGGGTTACAACACCCCCCCATCCCCACCTCTTACCCCAAAAATCTGCCCGGGGAAAACTTTTTTCCTGCCCGGGCAAGCGGATTCTTGTGCGTACCAGACCCCTCAGGGACTGCGGTTTGCGTATATACTCTAGCGTTTATACAGCAAGCGTACAAAACACTAAACGCGTATATTCCAACTTAGCCACCTGCAGCACCACCCACCTGCAGCACCACCCACCTGCAGCACCACCCACCTGCAGCACCACCCACCTGCAGCACCACCCACCTGCAGCACAACCCACCTGCAGCACCAACCACCTGCAGCACAACCCACCTGCAGCACCACCCACCTGCAGCACCACCCACCTGCAGCACAACCCACCTGCAGCACCACCCACCTGCAGCACCACCCACCTGCAGCACCACCCACCTGCAGCACCACCCACCTGCAGCACCACCCACCTGCAGCACGACCGAGGTGATGATATCCGCATGGCGCACTGCCAGGTTCAGAGAAGCAGAGCGCGGAGGAGAGAACCCCACGCAGCGGATGCGGCCTCTGCGCACGCGGCCCAGCTCACGCAGGTTGTTGGCCAGCACCATGGCTGCCAGCGCCACCACACCCGCGCCTATGGAGTGGCCCGTGAGTGTGAGAGTGTGAGTGGGGTGGCGGCGCAGCAGGCGCTTGAGATGGTCCATCTCGAGGTCTAGAAACGCGCCTGCCGCTGCGAGTAGCCCGCAGTGCACGTAGCCTCCATCAAACATCTGGAGGGCCAGAGGGAAATAGGGGCGGGGGAGTAGGCGAGCAGGAGGCGCTTGAGGTGGTCCATCTCGAGATGCAGAAATGCGCCCGCTGCTGCAAGTAAACTGCAGTGCACGTAACCGCAATCGAACATCTTGGGGGGCATAGCGAGAGGAGGGAGAGGAGGGCAAAGGGGAGAGTGGGGAGCAGGAATGGGGAAAGAAAGGGAATAGGGGAAGGGGGAGAGGGGGATGGGCGAGATGGGGAAAGGGGGAATGGGGTGGGCAAGGGGAGTGGCCGGTGGGTGTGAGTGTGTGCTAGGGGTGGCGGCGCAGGAGGCGCTTGAGGTGGTCCATCTCGAGATCCAGAAACGCGCCTGCTGCGGTGAGTAAACCGCAGTGCACGTAACATCTGGAGGGTAAGGGGGGGAAGGGGGGAAGGGAGGGAGTGCGGGAGGGGGAGAGGGGAAAGGGGAGGGGGGCAAGGGGAGGAGGGAAGCGGGAGAGCGGGTGGGGGAGAGGGAAGTCACGGCTGAGCTCTGTACTGACCTTCTGGACAATGAGGGGGGCAGTGGACGATGGAGCGGGGAGGGAGATTGAATGCAGGAAAGCAGATTAAAAAGGCAAAGCATGGAAAAAAGAAGAGAAAAACAACAACACGAGAGCGGCAATGGACAGAAGGTAGTGGGAAGCGGAGAGCGGACAGGCGGAACGCGGACCTGCTTGCTCTTGCGGTTGTTCTGGAGGATCCCATAGTCCGACAGAACCGTCAGGTTCAAGTGTACTTTGAGTTGACTCAAAAGACACCTGGACAAGCGGGGAGCGTTCGTGAGGACGCACGGACCTGCTTGCCCTTGCGGTTGTTCCTGAGGATCGCATAGTCCGACACTTGAGTCAGGTTCATGCCGCGCATGGCCACGGTGATGTCTTCATTCGCCTCGTCCAGGTACACTAGGTACGACGGGCACTGCCCCTCCGTCTCCCGCTGCTCCACTTTCCGCAGCACGCGCGCCTCTATCACTTCCCGCTTTCCTTTCGGCTGACCGTCCTTGCCGTTGGATTCGGAATCGGGGTCCTTTTCCTTCGCCGATTGCGCGTGCGTGGCGTCGGAGTCGCTTTGTTTGGATGGTTTCCCGGCAGCGGCAGCGTCGGTTTGCGGGGGGATGTTACCGTGATCGTCGGAAACGGACTCTAGGAGCTGTAGGCACTTAGGTAAGTCGGGTTCGTACGACGCGAGTATGAGGGTCGCGAGGCGCGGAAAGTCCGCCATTTCGTCCTTTGACGCGGCGGGCCAGTCGCGGCTGGCGTCCGCGCCCTTGCGGACGAGGCGGTGCACGGCCCACCCGCAACACGCGCATCCCCACACCGCCAGGCAGCATGGCAGCATTGTGGCAGCTGCTGTGGCGTCGACGAGAAACGGTGAGTGTGTGGCTTGGTAATGGGTGCACGTGAAATGAGTTTGGCTTGAGACGACTCAGAACGATCCTCTTTCCACGAATGTGTGGGTTGGAACTGTGTTCTTTTTAGCTACGCGACCCGCGTAACATGCACACCCAGCAGCGCGAAGCTGTAGAGGGTATCATTCTGTCGCGTACGGAAAACGTAGAAGAAAAGGTAACATGTATAGGATCTACGTATGACAGGACTGCGAAATGTCGATGCCTCACATTGGCATGCGTTACTGCTTCACAATATCGCGCAGACTCCTAAGTCACTCAATCTTAATGCCGTCCAAGGAACTGTACAACAAACAGCCCAAGGAGCAGAAGGAACGCAAGGATCGGTCCGGGACTCAACAAGACTCTATGCTCCACCAACCTCGAAACACATTTCTGGGTTCACATTCTGGATGGGATGCGAGGGAGCACCCGTCTTAGTACAAGAGGAGCAGCAGAGGCGATCTTCCCAAGAAATCCTGGAGCTGCGCGGCAGTCCCAAGAAGGACGTGCAGGTTAGGACGAATTGTGTCACTAGCCAAGACTTTCAAGTCCCCGACCTTGAAAGACTCGACATTGCCAGCACTCCACTTGTGAGAAAATGGTATTTGAGACAGGTACAGTGAAGGGTTTACAAGCAGCCAACTTCATGAATTACACTACATGTACATGTATTGCCCCTCTTTCACTGCATTCTCAGCACCTCTACGTTCTTCCTCCTCTTCCTTCTCTCGCTCCTTGCGCCTCTCGTAAACATGGTCGTCTGTTGGCATCTCGTAGCGACACAAAGGACACGAGTTGTGCTCATCCTGTTCGGAACAAATAGCACAAACACAACACCTCGAATCACATTACGCCCGGCAGGCTATTCACCAAGTACAAAACATATAATGCAAGTGAAGGATGTGACGTGAGCAGATAAAATGCAACCATTATCAGGGAACATCGCAGGTGAGATCACCGTATCACACAAGCTCGGGCTTTTCGACTCACCAGCCATGGCTGCAAGCAGTCCACATGGAACCGATGGCTGCATGGCATCTCCCTCAGCTTGTCACCCACCTCCCACTTCTCCCTGCACACACTGCACTCGTCCGCACTCCCCTCCCCTTCCTCCCCCTTCCCCTCCCCATCTACCCCCTCCCCTCTCAAACCAACACTCTCCCCCTTCTCAGACTTCCCTCCACTGCTGCTGCTGCCAGTACTACCACTAACGCCAGTACTCCCAACCCCGGCCAACGGCACCACGCCAGCCTCACTGTACACAAGCACAGGCAGCTGCTTCACCGCTCTCTTAGAGGCAGGCGGGGCGCTAGGCGGCTGAGACGCCTGCATGCTGGCTTCGAGAGCCTCGGCCAGGCCAGGGGTCAGCAAGTCGTCAGCTCCCCCTCTTGCTATCGCATCCTGTAGCAGATCCTCCAACGTTGTTCCGCCCTGCAGGAGCGCTGAAATGGCTTGATGAGGGGTTTGACCTTCTTGCGGATCTCTGTCTTCCCGCTCAGGATTGCTGTCACTATTGCTGTCAGCAGCAATGACATCCAGGTCCCTGAGTGTGCACGCGTATATAGACAAGGACAGGACAAGGCACTTTTGGGTCAGAGGAGACCAACTAAACCGCCCACACCAAGGACATGTGACAGAGCTTCCAATCAGGGCCAGTAACAAGTATGGAACTCACGAAACACGCCTCACAGCGAGCAGGTGACAACAATCACCCAGCTGACCAGCAATCAAGAGGCCACACCACACGCTCGTTCACTCACTCACCTCTGCTGCTGAGCCGCAGCCAGAGTAGTCAGCAGCGTCTGAGCCACCAGCCAATCAGGCCGTGGCGGCTCTGCTGCTGCTGTCAGTTGACCCTCAAACTGAAAGGAAGGAGACGCGGCAGCGAGCATGCCCCCCCCACCTCCTCTCACTTCTCTTGCCCTCCCTGCTCCCTGCTCCCCTTCCCCATCCCCTCGTCCCCCGCCTACTCCCTGCGACGAATCTTCTTCTCCGCCTTCCCCTCCCCCGCCTTCCCCCAGAAACTCCTGCGCGGACTTGATGTGTTGCTGAACGCGGTTCCGCTCCGCTCCCTCCCCCAACACGGTGCTGGCCGCGCGGAAAAGCACGAGACCCGCCGCCCAGAAGCCACGCGTCGTGTAGCGAGTCTTAAGGAGAGTAGCTGCGCGATGGACGGCTGCGATCATCTGGAAAGCCAACGGCGGATCGTTAGGAAAGGTAAGCCGACAGTAGTTTAAGAGACGTTACGTAGAAATGTTCAGAACACTTGTCACAGCACCGCCACCCTGCACCCTGGTGTAATACAATGGCTCTGCCATTCTACACCAATCACGCGACCATGATCCACCACGTGCGACGATCTGTGCGAATTTCAACTCTTGAAACATGCGACGGCGACCTCACCTTCTGCTGCTCGTCCAGAGAAGAGGAAGGGTACTGCGCGGCCACTAGAGCTGCCAGGTCCTTCACCGCTTTCTCGAACGAGCTCTTCTTCGCCATGAGCTTCGCTAGGTCATTCGCTGTAATCGCATCGCAACCAGGCGAAGTCTGCCGGCTGCTACTCGCCACGCACGCGGACGCCATGTCAGTCCAAGGTATGAGCTTCTGCAGACAGCATGCGATCAGATGTGCTCCGTGTAGGTTCGTCGAGTCCGAAACACGCAACAAATAGGGGTGGGTAATTCAAGTTCGGTGCGGCGATATGGGAAAGCACCCTGACGTCAGCGATAGGTGCTTCTGGGAAATTAGTAAGGCCTAGCAGCTTTCTGGGCAGATGACTGGCTACAACTTCACATAGCGTGTGGCGGTTTTGCGTATAAGGTCTACATAAAAATACAGAAAATCCCAGGTTAAGTACAGTGGATGAGTGGTGCTACTTATTAGGCTTTTTTAGCGAGATGCATTGCAACAACCAATGTTTTTTATCCCTATATATTGCATCCAGGAATACTAAAAATTTTGTAGGATCGCGCACATACCATGCGTTACAACAAAATGCATATACGATATAATTAAGTATAAGATGTACAATTTGTACTATAATAATTACTTTTTTTTGTTCTTTTTTTTATTTTTTTTCCTGTTTAGATAATGGCTTTGCCTGGCAATACTCCACTCCCTCATCTCCGCATCTAATGCAAATATTGTGTTTGCACATTCATTACTGCATTGCCACTTGTAAGGCAGCCAGGGCCCTCGCTATCAGACATTTTTGTCTGTTTTTCTGACGATTAAGACGGCTTTTTTTTACGTAATCTGATTTTTAAGAAATGGAACGTTTGGGAAATCTGATGAATAAGATATGAGATTCCCATTTTGTCTGATGAAAATGTTCTCGGATCGCGCACATACCATGCGTTACAACAAAATGCATATACGATATAATTAAGTATAAGATGTACAATTTGTACTATAATAATTACTTTTTTTGTTCTTTTTTTATTTTTTTTCCTGTTTAGATAATGGCTTTGCCAGGCAATACTCCACTCCCTCATCTCCGCATCTAATGCAAGTATTGTGTTTGCACATTCATTACTGCATTGCCACTTGTAAGGCAGCCAGGGCCCTCGCTATCAGACATTTTTGACTGTTTTTCTGAGGATTAAGACGGCTTTTTTTTACGTAATCTGATTTTTAAGAAATGGAACGTTTGGGAAATCTGATGAATAAGATATGAGATTCCCATTTTGTCTGATGAAAAAGACGTGCGTGTAGCTATTCCTCTGATTTTCCAGGCACTTGTATCAGTTCCGTCTGAGACCGACTTTTATACAGTCTGCCGTGATTGACGCGTGATATGGGTTAGCTGCGCCAATCACAGCACTGTGAAATAGTGAACGCGAATGAATGAACTATGAATGAAGTGGGTACAAGTACTAACCCTAATTGGGTTGTACCCCCTATGGGATACCCCACTATAGCCTACACAAAAGCATAAGCTATAATGTTCTGACACACCCCCATAGGCAAAGTGGGGGAGAACAAGGGGTCACAAGACCAGTCGAGCAAAGCAAAGCAAAGCAAGCTCAGGGTGGATCACAATGTCACCACACAGTCTGAGCACAAGGTCAAGGCCACAAGGCCAGTTCACATGCAGGAGGAGGTATATATATATATAAGTCTAAACAAGGAAAAGTAGGTATATATATATGCAAGAGTACAAGTAAGGTCAAGAGGTGAGCAAGTGAGGCAAGACTGGGACAAGTCCCAGCTGACTGCAGAAACGCTGATGATCACAAGGCGGAAGTGCCTTGGTGAAGACATCAGCAGTGTTGGCCTCAGAGGCCACGTACGCAAGTCGCAACTGACCACGCTGCTGCAGCTCACGAGCAAGAAAGTAGCGGAGAGCAATGTGCTTCGTTCTGTGCTCCAGGCTCTGCTCTCAACACAAGGCCAGCATGGCCTTGTTGTCTACGTACAGCACTGGAGGAGAACGAGTCGGCTCTCCAAGGTCAGTCAGCAGGTAGGTGAGCCAGCGAAGCTCCTGTGCAGCCATGGCCCCGGCGTAGATCTCAACCTCACAACTGGAGCCGAGAACAGAAGACGAGCGAGTAGCCCGCCACGAAACAGAGCCGGAACCAAGACTGAAGGTGTAACCCTGCAACGACCGCTGAGTAGCCTGGTCGTCAGCCCAAGAAGCGTCCGCGTGCCCAGTGAGGACCACTGGACTCCGCCCTCCAAGCACTAGCCCCATGCCCGACGTACTGCACAAGTAGCGCAACACCCTCTTCGCTGCAACCATGTGCTCTGGTCGGTGTCTCCCAGGAGCAACATAGCGTGCCAAGATGCTAAGAGGGTATGCAAGGTCAGGTCGTGTGCAGGTCATCAGGTACATGAGGCAGCCAACAAGCTCTGTGTACGGGCCACTCGACTCTACGGACTCATCCGAAGGCAGAGCTGAGAGCGAGTGGCGAGTAGACAGAGGAGTGGCCTGAGGCGAGGAGTACGTGAAGCCGAAGCGCTGAGGACCTGCTGCACCATGTGTGACTGAATCAAGGTAATGGTGCGGCGTGCTCTGTCCCGAGTGATCTGCAAGCCAAGGTAGCTGCGCAGTTCACCCAGGTCTGTGCACGTGTGTCTCTTCTGCAGCTCGGACTTCACGTAGGCGAGTCCAGCAGTGTCCGCTGTGGCAAAGACCAAGTCGTTGACGTACACGAGGATGTAGAACGGCGGCATAGAAGTGTCGGTGCGCAGAAACAGCGACGGGTCAGCAGTAGAGGGAGCAAACCCAAGAGCCGCAAGCGTAGTCCTCAGTGTGTCGTGCCACTCACGCGGTGCGTGGCGGAGACCGTAGACTGGCCGTCGGAGGCTCCACTAGGTGCCAGGAGGGAAAGTCCCAGTGAAGCCACGTGGACGGCGCAGCCAGATCTCCTCGTGCAGGCTACCCTGCAAGAAAGCAGTGCTGAAGTCAAGAGAGTGGAGCTCGTAGTCGCGCTGAGCGGCTATGTGCAGCAGCACCCGAAGAGTGGTCATCTTCGGGGTGGGAGAGAAGGTCTGAAAGTAGTCAACTCCCTGCCGCTGACTGAAGCCACGAGCCACGTACCGCGCCTTGAAGACAGGTGGAGAGCCGGGCGGCCGCTTCACCCTGAAGATCCACATGCCACTGACGATGTTCGCCCCAGGAGGGGGAACCGCGTCAACGTAGGTGCCTGTGGACTTCCAGGAAGCCATCTCTCCATCCATAGCTGCCTGCCACTGAGACGAGTAGGGACCCTCTACGGCCTCCGCGTAAGAGCGCGGAGTCGGGATGTCTAGTGCATCCAGGTCTCCCTCAGGGGCAAGCAGTACAGACGCGAGATGAGGTGAAGCAGCAGCCAGACACTGAAACTCCTCCTGCTTGTCCTCAAGGACGTCCGTGCCAAGAGCACACTCACCCCTGACGGACGGAGGACAGACAGACGCAGATTCAGCAACAAGACTAGCAGAGTAGTTTAGACGACAGCGAGCAGCAAAGTCGACGAGCTCAGCAACAAGAGCAGACGCAGCAGTGGACTCAAAAGAGGGGTCAGTGACGACAGTAGCAAGGAGACGCGTGACAGTAGGACTGGCAGCACGAAGAGAGTCCGACTCAGGGTCGGCAAGCCAGGAAGAGAGGACTCAGGAGGAGAGGGCAAAGGGGCACGCAGAGGAGCAGTGGACGGACGCAGAGACATCCGGTGCGTGCCAGGGACAGGAGGAGGACGCTGACGCGAACTGCGACCACTAGTGCGAGCAGCACGAACAGGCGACGCAGGACGAGACGCAGGCTCACGACGCTCAACAAGACCTCCAGTAGGACCAGTGTACGGAGAAGGAGAAGGCAGTGGGGAGGCCGGCGGTAACTGTGACTGCGACTGGACAGGCGGTGGACACTCTAAGAGAGTAGGAAGACCAAGAACCTGCTGCAGGAGCGGAACAAAGTACGGCCGAGGCCGCGCGGCGGCACCAGACACAGCAGGGACAGCACCAGCACCCTCAGCACCTCCGGCAGCACCAGCGCCAACAGCACCTCCAGCGGCAGGACCTCCAGCAACACCAGCAGCACCCGCAGCAAGACCACCACCAGAACGGACAGTAGTAGTCTCAGGACCAACATCCTCAGCAGCTCCAGCTCCAGGCGGACCCGCAGGCCCAGCAGCTCCGGGACCGGCGGCACCAGCACCCTCAGCGGCCGAAGAAGCGCGAGCTCCAGCAGTACGCCTCCAGCGGCGAGCAAACCACTCACGCAGCTCATGTGGAGAGAGTGGCTCCCGCCGAGACGAAACACCCGGAGAACCTCCAGGCCCAGCACCGCCAGACGCCACAAGGGGAGGTCCAGTGGCCGCAGGCTCCACACCTCCAGGCTGAGCAGCTCCAAACGCAGCACCCCCAGGCTCAGCACCCCCAGGCTCAGCACCCACGCGCGCAGCACCCCCAGAGTCAGCACCCCCAGGCTCAGCACCCCCAAGCTCAGCACCCCCAGGCTCAGCACCCCCAGGCTCAGTACCCCCAGGCTCAGTACCCCCAGGCTCAGCACCCCCAGGCTCAGCACCCCCAGGCTCAATACCCCCAGGCTCAGCACCCCCAGACTCAGCACCCCCAGAGTCAGCACCCCTAGGGTCAGCACCCCCAGGCTCAGCACCCCCAGCAGTACCTAAGTCACCAGCAACCTCGACCGGCTTGACTGCATCTACCTGGGACACACCTGAAGGGGCAGGACCCTAAGGGGGAAGGGGGTCTACCGGGGGGGGACCTAGCACAAGGAAGTGCGGTGGCAGGGGGAGGGAAGGAGTGCGGTAGGGGAAGAGGCGGTAGAAGGGGACGGACTCGTCGAACGTGACGTCCTAGGAGAACAGAACACGACGAGAGGAGGGGTGGTAGAACTGCCACCCTGGGGCGTCAGGGGGGAAGCCTAGGAAGACACAGGGAGCAGCACGAGGGGACAGCTTGTCCACAGACTGGTCACGGACAAACGCCCGAGATCCCCAGACACGGAACGCAGACGCATCGCCGACCTTCCCCGTCCACAGCAGAGCTGGGGAGGTCTCCGGGCGGGAGACCCTGGGGTGAAGGTTGAGCTGATGCGCCGCGTACTGAACCGCAAACGGCCACAGAAAATGGGGGGC